GGGATTACATTTGAGAGGGGAGTGGTCACTGGCATGAGCATGCAGGTGTTTGTGGATGCCGACTATGCAAGCAAGGCAGCAGACCGTAGGTCGGTCTCAGGAGGACTAGTGATGTGTGGGGGTGGGTGTGTGACTTGGTTTTCGAGGACGCAGAAGTGCGTCACGCTCTCCACAACGGAAGCAGAGTATGTGGCAATTGCCGACGTCTTGAAGGAAGTGCTTTTCTTGAGGCAGGTTTGGCGTTTTATGTTGCCAGATGCAGGTATGCCGTGCATTCCGGTCTTCGAGGATAATCAGGGAGCGATTCAGATTGCGCACAACCCGATCACGAACTCAAACTCGAAGCACATCGATGTACGGCATCACTTTATCAGGGAACTGGTAGAGAGGAAGGAGATTTCGATTACGCATGTGACGTCGGAGTTTCAGCATGCAGATTTCTTGACGAAGGCTATCAGCAAGGAATCTTTTGCGTTGCACAGAGACTTTGTGATGAATTTGCAGTGAAAGAAGTGTTTTGGGATCAAATCGTGTTTTGCCGCGGAGTGGAAGAGAGAGGATATGTACGGGTTTGACCAAGAGATGGAGAGAGTCAAGTGGAGGTGGAAGCGTTTTGGAGAGTTAGTATTTGGGACTTTTCTCGGTAATTTGGAAGAGTCGGTATGCGATTGATTATTTTCGGACGTATTGTTTTGGTGTTGGAATTTTGTATTTTCGTTTTCTTGGTTTTGATTGTGTTTTGGGATGAACTGGTATGAAAAGGATGACTTTGATATTTTGCCGGAGCATGACGATGCATACGAGCAGGGGGGCTATTCGATATACTCGTAGCATAGTATGATGGTTGAGATGTTATGTACGTTCGTGCGAATATTGCAGTAATGAGATGCGGAGGAACAGGAACTTTCTACATATTTTCCTTGGTTGTGAGAGGCTTTTGGTGAGGATTCAGAGAGATTCGTTGTGTGAGAAAGCATGAAGGCGTGACTCGATACCGTGATGGTTTGACGAGCACGAGCACGCCCCCGATTTATACAACAACACGTTACAACAACACGTTTTCCAACACGTCTGCACGACGTTACCTACCCCTACGGCCCGTAATGGCCGAGCTGCTCTACACTCCCATCGCACACAACTGAGCCACCCGAATAATCGATCAGCATCAACATTGCCAACCTCATGGACTTCTCCGTCAGAGACTGCTTCATCCCGTCGCAGAAGAATGTGGGGTACTCCTCTTCCTACAAGCGGCCACACTTCGGCTTCTACATCATCGTCACTTTCCTCCCCTCCCTTCCCTGCTACCTTTATCGGCAAGAGGGATGGGTGCGGTGGAGGGAGTTGTGACTGCAATGCCTCCCATGTCACATATTTCGTTTCTTGAATAGTCCCTGCCCTCGTAAGTACTCGATGACAGTCACGCGGGTGGTCTCTCGAAGGGAAAGCAAGCCTCACCCTTCGGCAGCAGCTTAGACGGTCGGTGCCACCTACAGTAGTAGCCGGTTTCAAAAACCGACACGGTCTAGCAGGACTAGCTTCGCCATACCACATCTCATACGGGGACTGGCTGTCTGGGTTAGCGGAACAAGCTGTGTGGGTAAGTGCTTCGCAAGCCCAGTGCATGGCCTCAGCCCAGAGTCTGTCAGTCTTAGGTAACTGCACATGCCCAAACAAAACCTTCGCCTGAATACGAGCCGCCATTGCATCTGTCTCAATCAATCCCAAGCCACGCTCTGCAACACCGTTGTATTGTGGACTGTAAGCCGGAGTGAACTCTTGCTTCATCAAGAGCTCGTTGCACACTAACGCAACTCCCCTCCGACACACTCGCCCCCATTGTCAGATCTAACAACCTCAACCAATGATGGTAGGTTTCCATCAGCACGCACACTTGCAAGGAAACTTCTGAAAGCACCCCCAGCGTCTGATTTATTTCTCAGGAAATACAACCATGTACGTCTAGTGAAATCATCCTTCACTATTATGGGGTAATGTTTACCCCCTACGGACGCAACGTCCTTCCGTCCTCCCAGGTCAACGAAAACTGTGCCCAATTTTTTGTCTGATCTGCGTTTAGTTTCACGAGCAATTCCTTTCCTGAATGCNACCATGTACGTCTAGTGAAATCATCCTTCACTATTATGGGGTAATGTTTACCCCCTACGGACGCAACGTCCTTCCGTCCTCCCAGGTCAACGAAAACTGTGCCCAATTTTTTGTCTGATCTGCGTTTAGTTTCACGAGCAATTCCTTTCCTGAATGCCTTCGACATCGAACATCCCGTACACACATGAATTTCACCAGTCCACTCAATACTCGGTCGCTTTGCAGTTGGACGAAGCAATCCCTCATGTGGATGACCGTAAACGCGATGAAACTCGTTCACATCCATCTTCGTTGCAATGGGGTCTAGAGGGGTGAAGGCAGCTAACACCGAACCAATAGATTCATCTCCCAGACGATACCCAGTGGCAACAACCATGCCATCGAAGTTCTGAAAATTAACTGTTCCGTCGAAAGCAGCCATCACACCATCAAGACCACCGAGGCTTTTTCATAACTTGCCATCGAACACTGCGCTGGGAGAAAGGAGGTTGCACAAACTTTCTCCAACTCCACTGAACACTCACTGTCAGCAATCACAAACACTTACTCCAGGGTTCCAGACAGTGCTACTTCACAAGTCAAACCATCAATCCCTCATACGTTCTAATAGCAAGAACTCACATCCTTAATGCTAGGGAAAGAGTCTGTTATGTGGAAAGCAGTAACCGTGTCCGTTACGCCATTCTTCGACACATCTGTCCTTCCTCACAAGAATAAGAGTATTTTCGGACAGCATCATCACTTGACAAGCACTTCATCAGCATAACTTCGTAAGACGCTACCAGACACGTGAGATCATGCGAGTTTTGCAATCTGGTTCGAGGAAAAAGCACCATGTCAGACTTCTCACCGTTCTCTTTTCTGCCTGGCGCAGCACATCCACACTGAATCCTTGCTGTACCGAGGGGGTCAAGTCGAAATCAAAGCTTGCAATCGGAAATCTCATGTGTAGACACACACAACACTTCAAACAGATTGTTGTGACGGGTACTCAGCAAAATGTTCTGCGACCACGATGGACGCGAGACATCAGTCCCGTCGAAAAGAGGAGCTTTGGGCACTTTTAAAGGGCTCCTACCCAACTTCTCTCTTGTGTCTGAAATGCCGGCCCCAGGGATCAGTGTGTTTCCTCTGGCGGCATGTCCCCACCACTCACTCGATGGAGTAGACGGGGGCGGAATGAAAGACTGACTAACTGGTGCCCCACTCCCAATTCCGATCGAACCAAAGTTTGCGGCAGAGGAACGATTTACTGCAGATGCATCAGGGTTCAACCCTGAGTCTAAGAGACCACTACCCCCAACCCGATTTACATCAGTTGCACAAGGGTTCAAGCCTGAGCCTGCGCCTGCAGGACTACCACTCCCAACCCCAACGCTGGACATGTCAAGGACTGGGGCATCGCCGCCCGTACCTCCCGCAGTCCCACTGTTTGCATCCGATTGATGCGCACCAGCCCCGTACTCTGTTCCGCCGCTTCCCGGCGCAGCAGCACCAACAGAGGACTCCACCTGATCACCTCGTTGCCCAACAAGCGACTTGATTATGCTCGTGAGCTGAGACAACTGTGTCTAAATCGAATCCAATCTCTCACCACCAATAACATCCTGCGAATCACCCAGAGATGGGTCATCCACATGATCCCCGGCAGGCCCTCTCATGACGAAGCAAGGTGATCAATCTTCCTCCGTGCAGTCTTGACGTACAGTCCGAGGGGACAAGCAGCAGTCGACTGTTTGATAGCGCTATAGCGTGTTGGTAAACTCGTAGCTTCTGGGGAAAATATGTTGTATTGATGAGACCTTGGACCAGGAGAACAGGTCAAAACGTGGAGTGAGCGAGGGTGGGGCTAACACCGCAGCACCGCAGCACCGTAGCATCACCCATGTCGCTCGACCAACGCACAATAGCAGAACACAATAATATCGGAACACAAAAGACTCAACAAGGGCTAACGTACGTCCCAACGTACCATGGATCCTCTGACTGGTGCACTATCCGCAAAAAACAGACTCGCGGCAATGCACCATCCACGAGGAACATTTCTACAGAACGTTCCTCGCTGTTCTGATAATATGTGGCCACTCAGCGATCTGCAACGCCGACAGTCCCACACTTCAAACTGTCCAATCAAATTGTTCAACGTTACTCTGTCGACACACACATCAGCAACTATCACGAATACGAACACTCAACTCATAAAGATTCACGGTCATGCGTGATGAATTTTGCTTTGAGATTGCTACACGAGATTCCACTCGACTCGATGTTTTGCACGGAAACCATGAAATTTTACATGGATATCCATTTCCATGGAATATTCCACGGAGCCTCATGGAGTTCCATGTCACGTTCCATGGTAGCATGTTGGGCTCCATGGAACTCCACTGGGTCCCATGGAATATTCCGTAGAATTACATGGGATTGATGCGAGTGATTGTGATAAACAATCCAAGTTGCAGCAAACCAACACAACAAAATTCCACGTACTATATAGACGGTCACAACTAGACGAAACGCATACCGCGCGAAGTAGGGCACCCCGTGGGAAAACATAGCCCGCTCGCATGCTGCAACTGAGATAACAGAGGTAGTCTGAGGTCCGGCGGAAAGCGATTACTATGTCACAAACGAACTGACCGAAGTAGGCCATGACCTCAGAAACGAATACAGACCCGAAGAATAGTGGTTCACCGGGGGTCCTCATTCCCGTCGGCCGCCTACGGTTGCTTCTTATCCGTCCAACCCAGACAGAATCAGGTGAAATGACACAACCACAGCAACCCAAAACTTTAGCCTAACCAAAACTCAAGAAAACGCTAGGGATGTGGAGCTGCCGGAAGAGGCAAGTGAACGTACGAACTCAGTGTCTTCCTCCGAAACTGCTGCACAGACACATAAACAGAAGAAACGACGCAACCCTCCACCTACAAAAGGTGGTAGGAGACCACACTTGAAAGTTCAATGCTTCCGCAAGATGTAATCCACACGTTGAATAAAACACCTCCATCGAGTCGTACGGCACAATGAAAATGACCGAACAGGAGGTCGATCCCGACAGAGCGGAACATATCAACCAAATGAAAAAGACTAAATTGAAACAGAGGAATGCGTTTCAAATAAAGACACAAGGGGTTTCCGTCGCATCGACGCTTCCAGGACCTGACCTTCCTTCAGTTGCGATATTGACTTTCTTCTTCCCGAATGCTGATGATGAGGATGAACTCCTACGGAATCACCGTCGGTCTTCGGATTTCTGTCGCTCCACCTCGTAAATACTGCCGGAACAAGGGTCTTCATCTGCCTCTGTGAAAATAGATACGCTTCCTCTGAGGCGGAAAATACCTCGACCGCGGCGGAAGCTCGAGGACGCCAGCTGCTGTCCTCGCTTTTCAACCAACAGGGATATCGCCTCCATGATCACCTCGAGCAGTACCACCCCCACCATGCAAACGTGGGCCGCGACAAAGAGGGACTCAAACACCCTCTGGCTACTGGCCCGCTCGTCCGACACATCCACCTTCAGCAGAAGGGCAACGTACATGCTCACAGCTACAACCGCATGACCCATGCGACAAAGCCAGGTGTCCCATCTCGACACATACGGAGCTACGGGTTCCGAAATCATCGCGAAGACGACCGCCATCGGGAGCGCCACCGCAATCTGCGCGGCTGTGTTGGGATAAATAAACACCACGACGCCGGCACGCAAAACTCGCCTTGCGCACTCGATCAACTCGTAGTAAAACACCGACGGCCTGTACGGCTTCCATAGATCCGCGGTCGGCGATATCCGCGCAAGCTGTTCTCGGTCAGTCTCATCACGCCTCAACACATCGCTACCCCGATACAATAAACCGGCGTACACCTGAAAAGCGCTGTGCCTTGGGGAGTCGCACTCTATTCGGTAGTCCGCCCTCAAGTAGTTCTTACGGTCGTCCAGCTCCTCGCACGCGAAGGCTTGGAACAGAACAGCGCACACGCTTGCATTCACCAAGAAGGTCAGCAGCAGCACCAGCGATACGTGTTTGTGCCAGACGCGTTGCAGGTCCTCGGACGACCGGTGGCTATTCCGGGCCGCCGCGGCATAAGCCGCGGCCAAAAAAAGCAAGCCCACGATGGGCGCGATCGTCGAAACCAACAGCGTCGTGGAAATCGACATCAAAGACGCAACCGGCGGAGAGTAACCAGCCTAGGTCGACTTTGAACAGCTCAAGGGCATTGAGAAAGCGCCGGTACACGTGCGGAAGTCTGATGTTCGGCACGGAAGTGAACTGGGCGAGCGGGCGATAGGGTCGAGACAAACAGGGAAAAGTGTTGGATCCGTTATGCGTGCTTGCGCCACAAACGGATGGAAGGCCTGTTCACCGACGAAATCAAGGCTGCACGTCTAGTAACGTCCAATTCACAAACAACCGCGGCAAATAGAGGCATTACTGCTGTACAACCCGGTGATTCAACTTCTCCACTTACAACCGTGCCGCCTCCGTGAATCCCCAGCCGCATAAATACTTAGTGCCCACGCAAAAATACTTCATGATTCCCATGGCATAAACACCTCAGCGTTATTTCTTCGTGAATCTTGATGGGGCGACCCGGAACGTTCCCATATACAACGTGTCTCAAGTCCGCCTCACTATCGCGGCATAGCCGCAGCATGCAACCACCCGTTCACGTCGAGGAGAGAAGAAGCCCAACACCGAAACAATTAGCTGCGCATGGTCTCCCACGCAACGAATCAAGGGCACTCGAGACGAGTCCCAAGCCTCTCACCGGTGTCAAGATCTGCCACGCCGCGATGACGACCTTGTCGGACTGAAGCGGGATGAAACGCCCGGCGCGCTCGAACACCCCTCGCACCCTGCCTTCGCTTTCCCCCGACACGGCGTGCGAAACCACCGTGATGGTGAACAACAGGCCGGCGACAGAGATGGAGACGCCGAGAGCAATGCCGCCCGCGCGGTCGGAACACCTGCTGCAAGCCATGCCCAGCCGGGCCGAATTCTCGTCGCTGCAAACGACACAAACTGATACAAGCGGCCGGTCGGAGAGTGGTGAAGCACGGGCATTGTTCGGGCTTCGACGGCGGTGGGTGCTGCGGCTTGGCGACAGGAAGCAATCATCCCCGACGAAAAAACGAAAGTAGGATCGCAGACCGTCCAATCTTCTACCCAACACGTTTTCGACTACATGCGCTGAATCGACTAAACAGTGGTGGGGTGGCGCAACATCGTCCGTTGGTCGACATCGTAAACAGAACAGAGACAAACCAGACGTGCCGTGGATGACGGGGTGAACACCCCTCACATGGAAGTGCTTCGGGTCGATGATTTTCGGGTATGTCCATCGATGCTGGAGGAAATAGGCTCAATCAACAAGAAATAATAGAGGAAAAGACGCCCGGATATACCGTTACCATGCCCGCTCTCCTCTCTGTCTCCTCCCACGCATTGGAGTAAGTTCCTTGGGGGCGGGCTGACTGGGCACTGAGAGGTGAGGAAAGGCACTTTTTTCAAGCACACAAATACGTGGGCGCTTACGGAGTGAAACCGTGGGGAAGGGAAGGGCACCTTCTTGTTCCATTCAAGGCAATATGAAGAGATGACGCCCGTTCACACGAACTAGATGCAAGGTATCTATGATACTGAATGAATGTTTGGTTAGTTGAACTCTTTGGTGTGCTCGATCACAGCTCGAGGTACGGAAAATCCGAACATAATCCAGAGCACGCCTCGAGTGTGGAGTCCCGTAGGTTACATAAGATACCACAACCCCTGGACCGATTTTCAAAGCTCGATTACTCCACGATGAAACACGGACGCAAAAACAATGATGCGTTGTTCTGATGCTTCTGACGAGACAATATAAACGCCACCATGCTTGGCACCGTCACAGTTTTTCGGCAAGAGTTGTGAAAGTCGCTCCCGGAGGTGTGGTATCTTATGCACCGACAGTAACACCCCGTGGTCTGTACACGTTCGGGCATATTTAAGCAACCAGTGGTTGGCATGACCGGGTACACTACTGCACCGTTCCAGCAACGCCAAGTACCTCGCGAACCCATTGAGACAAGCCTCCAGGGAGCCTTGTACATGCGGGCATAGTTCAATGGTAAAAAAAAACTCACATGGCCCTTCGTAACCTTCAAGGCAGTAGCTTTCAGATCCCGTCACTCCTCCGAGGCACGCTTCTGCGTTGTAGCACTCCAGGACGTTTTGGCTGGACGAGGTGACTCGCCAGTTCCCGGGTTCGATGACGAGTGCATCGAGAGTGACGGTGCCGTCGGAGCTGTTGGAGTGATCCAAAGCGTCGGAGCACTTCGGTACCAGCTGCGGTTCCTCGAAGTAGCACCCTTCGCATTCAACCGGGCATCCATCGCAGATAGCCTCATAGAGTGTCCCCGACTGCAATACAGCAATAATGACAGGTACAGCAAAGTGGCAGAGCGAGCATGTCGGCAAGATATTTCGCGGCCGGCACAAACACTGGGAGACGCTTCGGGCACAAGAACGTATGGCAAAGGTGCAGGCCCAAGCTCCTGATGGAGCTTGTAGCTGGCTAGACAACATATCGAGCATGTTGGCATAACCTTCAGCTGTGCACAGATGCCTCTCCTTTCCGTTGACACCTGTAGAGCCTCTCAATGCGCACGTGGGCGAGGCAGGAACCCTTAATCTAAGTTCAAGTGACCCACGACATAGAAATATGGAAAAAAAAATGGAACAATAACACGACCGCCGGAGTGGCATGTCTCCGACGAACTGCTCGGGTGGGGAACACTGGTCGAGGTAGTCCAACGCATATGACCACGTCTTTGTTCACCTCCTCGAACTCCAGGAACATGCCCTCTTGGCAGCTGTAGACGTTGCGGCTGAAAGATAGGTTCGGGACTCTTGAGACGAAGCCGATGTTGGACACGGCGGATCCCCCGCCGTCGTCTGAAACGTTCTCCACAAAAGTTGTTCACCTCGGCAATGCCCGCCAGTCTCAGAGCCCCGTCCGTCCCCGCCGTGTTGTCCTCGAACACGCTGTTGACAACCCGATCCTGTCCAGTCGCGGTGTCAACAGTTCCACCCGTCGCAATTGCCCTATTGCTTAAGAACCGGCACTGATCAAATGTCGTAGGGGCCGGCGTGTAGTCTTCGGGGTTGAACGAAGTTCCAGAACCGATAAGCGATATTGCACCGCCAACCTGAGCCCAGTTGGAGATTAAGCTGACGTTGACGAACGTCGGACCAATAGCGGTGCTAGACACGAAGACGGCTCCACCAGCGACAGCGGCAGTGTTCCCAACAAAGACCGCGTTCTCTGTGCCGATAGCTACGGACAGACCGCCAAGCAGGGCTAACGCGCCCCCGTTGGCTCCAGACGTGTTGTTCGAGAATATTGTTGTCCCGCCGATGATGAGGTACGAGTGTTGAGGGTGGTAAAAGGAGTCAACACAAACGACCACACCACACCGCCGTCGGCGCTTGCTTTGTTGGACGAGAAGTCGGTGTCTCCAGTCCACTCCACATGAGACCCGTTCCACAAGAACATCGCTCTCCCGGAGAGTGCAGTGTTGTCTTCAAACTCGGTGGCCGCACTCCACGCCACTTGCGAGTCGGACACACCCGGTCGCCCCGGTGGTCTAGTGGGTAGCCTCGCAGCCTGCTAAGGGCCAGGTCATGGGTTCGAGTCCCGGCAGAGAATTTTTTTTTCTCACTAAATAAATCCTGGTCTAGGATGAAAGCGACGCGCTGCAAAGCTCGTTTGTTAGTAAACCATAATCGACTTCGAAGTCGCGAGGGAAGGGATTGCTGTACCCTTCTCGCGATAAAAATACCTCACGCAGGAATCGCAGGAGGGGGTCCAACCCCCCCCTCCTATGTGACCCCGGTTGGGTCGTCTAGCTAGTAGAAGTGGAGGATAGGAGCCAGAGGGGCAAACGACAGAGTCCAATGACGGGAGAAAAAAAAACAAAAACATGCAGGGCACCTCCCGCAAAGGATGCTCTTTGGCCGATGAAACGCGTTGGATCACCTCCGCTCCAGCTCACACTGGAGCCAGAAAATGCACCAACTGCACCGGACGCATCGGCAGTGTTTGATTCGACGAGCGTACAGTTGGCGCCCGCAGATAAGATACGCTTATTCCAGGTCCAGCCTCGAATTCTTACTGTGGGCTATATACTCAGCGTATGTCGTTCAGTTTCATATTCCAAGTTTCATATTTGCTGATGCAGCCAAATCCTGCTGAATTTCTTAAGTCGGCAATTTCTTATTTCTCTGCTTGCATACTACACAACGTTCCAAATATGCAAAAATGATTTGCACTGCTGTCCTCGACCCCCGTACTCAACCCCGATTCTCACTACCGACGGCTGCACGTAAGGNTTTCGTGCAGCCAAATCCTGTTGAGTTGCTTAAATCGGCAATTTCTTATTTCTCTGCTTGCATACTACACAACGTTCCAAATATGCAAAAATGATTTGCACTGCTGTCCTCGACCCCCGTACTCAACCCCGATTCTCACTACCGACGGCTGCACGTAAGGCCACTCCCTAGAAGCGAAATGTATTCAGCGGCAACGTTTCGCTATAGCTACAAGGTCATGTACCCCCCTCATGAGTGAGGGCTGAAACTAAACACATGCATAAACACCGCATGATGCCTCACCCGCACGCTGACGTGCCAACAACGAAAACTACCCCGTCATTATGTTGCAAGCTCCGTGAGGCGAACATTGGGGGTTGTCACCCTTTTGCGCCTCCCGCTCCCTTCCTTTGGGTCTACCTCTAGGAGAACCCACGCCCCAATTGCGGCGTCTTCCTCCGTGCTGTACGACTCCAACGGCATCTTCATGCTACGCGTGCTTTCGTCACAGTGCAGCATGACGCGGTAAACGTACTCCTGCCGCGAAGCGGGGTGAGATCTGCGACTAATTACCCCTCCGAACCAACCCAACCCGAGTTTCACGAGAACCCCACGCTTCACTATCGACTGACCGAGGACCGGTGGTGGATTCGCCTGGAGTCGAAACCCGTCCGGGATGTCCATCTTCAGCGTTTCTTCCTCAGGCGACAATTCGTCATCGTCGTCGAGCTGGGTCAGCGGGTCCTTATCGTTGTCATCGTCTCTTGACAAGGCACAGCGGAGGCATCGTCTATTGTTGTGGCGATTCCCGAAGCGGGTACCTTTCCATGATGAGCTTTTTGAAAGTGACCGTGATCCACCTTGTCGAGACCCGCAGCTTCCTCTTGCGTCGTGCCAGCAACATCTTGTACAGCTCCTTCTCCGCGTCAGGGAACCACAGCCGCCGTCGAGTGCATGTCGCCATCAGACTACTCCGCACCTTGTCAGCTGCCTGCTGCGCGAGAGAGTCTTCACCCTTCGGCCATTTGCTGATATTGCTGGTCGAGATCCCTGACTTATGTTCCAAGTAAAAGAGAGGGGTCATATCGAAGTGCGCACGAACCTCCGTTGACCACGACTCTAGATCTCGCAGCTCCTGAATAACACCGACTTTCTCGCGCGAGGTGTACCGTCTCCTCGAGGCTGCTCCACACGTTTTCTTTGATGGCGACTCCGTTTGTGAAAAGCCGTCGTTCACGAGGTTGTTGTTCCGCTCGACTCCAGGGCGTAAAGGCTGCAGCACCAACGTCACAGACCCTGGCGGACATGTCGCGCCGCATCCGCGACTCTCTCCATGGTGAAACGCAACGTGCCAGCAACGTCCTGACGGTGTCCCACCCCAAGGGAGGAGAGATGATGCCCCCGCCCCCTTCCTGTTCGTTGAACACCACCGTTGAACCGAGATCTTCGCTTCACGCTCGTGGTCAGTTTTGATGTGCACCCCAAGGCCCTGGGTGTTGAAGAAACGACGGTTGCACTTCGTACAAGGNGTTGAAGAAACGACGGTTGCACTTCGTGCAAGGCACTGTCGGTTGAGGCAGTGCAGGCGCGGCGAAATTGATGTTCGTAATCTCCTCCGTACTGCCGTCCCCACGCGTACGCACCATCTGCACAGAAATGGGGGAGGGAGGGCATCGCAGGGCGGTGGTATTGTTCATTCCTGCTTGAGTTTATTATTTGTTGTTTGAAAGATAGCAACATCAGCTCGTTCAACGAAGAGTGCTGCCGCGGGTACGGCCAGCACAGCAGCATGTAAGAAGACGCATGTCGGAAAGGGTTGACAAAAAAAGAGGCGAACCTGGTACGGAGGCACGCTGGGGACTTACTGCTACAGGCAGTTCTTGCCAGTAAGTGCGTACACGTTTCGTGCAAAAGCGGCTCAAAAATCATTCTTATGCGGCATTTCAACAACAATAGTAAGTGTTGGGATCATTCACGTGGTTCACAGCAGCACCGGTATGACGCACATCGAAGACAAAGAATAGCAGAAGAACTCACGCAAACCGAAAGAGACACTCACAACACAGAGCATTCGATGCCAACAATACATACATGTAGACGCAAATGTGTATTTTGGAAACCAAAAGCAAACAAAAAAACATTAGAAAAAAAATACTGGTCTGTCCGCATCTCGGTGGCGCTGAGTATATTTTCAAGTATCGCGCGAGACCCTCTCATCGGCACACACAAACATATTCTACGCACCGGTTTGCCACTGCCTTTAGCGAAGGCATTGATGATGTTGTGGGTCCCTGCCGGCGGGTTGGATGCTGCCCTCCCCTTTTTCTTGGCTGATGCTGTTGAAGACGATGATGCCTTTTGCTTCTGTCCTACGAGTGCGCTTGGACCAGCAGCCGATTCAGGAGGGGTTGGCACCGAGGTCTTTTTCTTGAGGTGGGACGCCACATGTTCGTTGAGGTGCTGCACATGCTCCTCCAAAGTAAGGATATCGCAAGACCTCAAACTCCGCAGCTCTTCAATGCCTTTCCAGAAATCGTGAGACAGAGGCTCGTTGTTTAGAAGGTGCTTCTTGATGTCCCCGAGCTGGCTCGTCGACAGTTCTTGTTGATCTCTGAGGGTGACCAGCTTGGTCAAGCCGTCACGAGAGCTGGCGGAGAGAACCATCAAAGCCGTGTTCAGCAGACAGCAGTCGTGGTTCGCAGCCTGTTTGGTGTGCTGTGCCAAAGCTTAAGCTTTAGCGCCAGCAGAGGGCGTGGCAGAGCCCGCAGGGGGCAGGGGGCAGGAGGGCACAGGGATTGCAATCCCATACACCTATGCTAATAAATCACGAT